TGGTGACGATTAGTTCATGCGTCGTAGAAAACAGCTCGGGCGTCGTCTACCTCAAGTTAACTTATATTATCCTAGTTTGAACGGTTGATAAAAAAAATAAAGTAATAAAAAAAAAAACGCTTAACTTTACTCAGTAACGAATACCAACGTTGTCATGGCTTTTTCATCATGTCATTTTTTACAGTGTACTGATGGAGCACAGTTCCTCTAATGGTACTACTTCTAGTGTGGATGTGAAGGCATTTCTGTGAAATGGGCGGATGGGGTCATTTTCACTGGTTAAAAAAAAAAGCATTGTACTACCTGACACACAGCGGCTGACCAGGATGAAATACAAAATAATGCACGTGACCAAACCTGCGGGACATAAGAACCAGGACACTAAGAAAGCTGAGTTAGCCTTGATACACTGCAGTTCTACGAGGTCAAAACAGACAAAAAGAAAGAAAGAAAGAAAAAAATAAACAACAATAATGGTCAATGTCCTTCACAAACAAACTCACAAGAACATCAAAAGAATAAAGTACACACTTTTGCTTTAACCTTTGAACTCTGAGAAGTAAATAAGAGCAACCTAATTACATCATACATTAAATTTTAAACAATATGTTATTAGGCCCTCCCAGTGATACTGTATTCAAAAATTAAGGGCGGTTTTAGGTGTACGCCCATCTTCCAGGCAGTTCTTGGCAGTGTTGTATAGTCTTGTCTGTGAGAGGAAACCACTAGCTTCAATAATTAATCCTGTACAAGATCCATCAATCACTGCATCTCTGAGAGTCAGGGAGACAGATACCAATCCTATTTATTTCAAGTGGGGGCGAGCGGCAGGGGTATGGATTACCGGGGTATGCGTGCTAGGCTGGCAGACTCCATGAAATGGAATGATACATCAGGCTTCTGTGTGCACCTTAGTTCCCCTGCCATTTGATCCAGAGAGCTGAGAACACAATGGCATTTACTTTCAAACTCTTGTAAATATTAGCTGCACAACAATACACTGAGACAAGCATGCAAATAAGCTCAATATAACAGCGTTCCTGGTCCTTTTGCTTTGTTTAAAAAAAATAAAAATGAAAAACTAATTCCTTCACAATGCAAAAAGCCATGCCTAGCAGATCAAAACTAAAGGTAGAAATCCATTTCTCCACCCCTGAATAACTTTGCACGTCACTGAACACATGAGGGAGAGGGAAGAAAGAAGGAAGATAAGAGGAATGGGAGGAGAGG